CGGTCTTAAAGCAATCAAATGACCAGACCTGATTTTACAATCTTTTTTGCAATGGTTGTTAATAAAATGCTAAAGTCATAAAGCAAACACTACGTCATCAAGTGAATCCACTGTTCAATATGGCCTGGTTTTGGTTAGAAACCAGAAATAAATAATGATTTATTTCGCTGTGCCCTCAAGACCCTGCTGTTCCGCCAGGCTGGGCTATCAATGTAAATTATTTTAAATTGGGTGTTTTAAATTTTTGGGTTTTAATAGGCTGTACACCGCCCTGAATCCTTCGGGGAAAGGGCAGTATAGAAATAAAATAATAATAATAATAATAATAATAATAATAATAATAATAATAATAATAATAATAATTTATTATATTATATTTATTATTATTATTATTATTATTATTATTATTATTATTATTATTATTTCAGGCAAAAGTCATCAATTGCAGTCATGTGACTGCAGGTGCCACAAAGAGCAGGCTGGTTGCTGAATGCTCAAAATGCAATCACCTGACCTTGGGGAGGGTCAACAAAGGTTGACTCAGCCTTCCATCGTTCTGCGGTCAGTAAAATGAGGACCCAGATTGTTGGGGGCAATATGTTGACTCTTTAAACTGCTTAGATGGGGCTGTAAAAGCGCTGTGAAGCGGTATATAAGTCTAAGTGCTGTTGCTATTGGAACTTCAAAACTAGGTTGTAAGTAGCTTTTAGGGGGTCCCTCAAAACTTTGAATGATTGCTAAGTGACTGGTCATATTTCAAGGACTACCAGTATTTGATTAGTATTAACATCATGTAGCACATGTCAGAAATAGCATACTTTTTATATTTTTTTAAAAAAATGTCCCTGTTCCCTTAGGATTTTTAGCTTCTATCCCCTATGAAAGAGTGTCGTTCTGAAGGAGAAACATGTGTCCAATTTATAAGAAAAAAAAATTAAACCTTGGGATTTTTGAAAGAATGAAAGGAACCATAAGACTTTTTGCACCTAAACATTCTGAAATTTGAATCAGGCTCATAATATATTCGGATCAATATTATCAAATGCACCTATCCCATTCACATCCAAATTTAGCAAGCGTTTGGGGGCTTTGAATTGGGGGCTCCAGAAGGTAGCAGCAGAGCAATCACCAATTACAGGACATGAATTCCAATGTTTGCATCCATAACTCTCACATTTCTTTTCCTTTTATGTGGTTAAAGTATAAGGGCATTTCTACAGGTAGAATGCCCTCTCCTAAAGCCCATTTGTTCATCCACCAGTATATGCGGCCCCCAACCTTTTGGGAACCAGGGACCGGTTCCGTGGAGAAAGGTTTTTCCACAGACTGGAGGGGGCATGGTTTTGTGTATTTTCTACAGTCATGGATGGGGCTTCGCTTGTTTGCATGGACCAGTTTCTGGCATGCCATGGACTGGTGCTGGTCCATGGACCAGGGGTTGGGGGTTGGGGACCCCTGCTTTAAGTAAGATCCCGTCAACTAATTTGTGATATAAGTGTTTGGCATAGAGCTTGCCTTGCTATACTTAAAAGACTAACTGGCTTATAATTAGCAGGCAGGTGCCCTTTTAATAAGTAGGCACTGTGAGGACTAGGCCCCAATCCTCTGCGATTTGTGCAGTGTGACCAATATAAATAAACACAATAAAACAGAACAGAATAACGTTATTGTCACTTTGAATGTACACTAATCAGCATCACCTCCAATATATACTACATAATCATGACAGAATAAATAAATGAATACAAAATTATGCATATACCCACCTGTATTATATGACACAGAGAAACAACACAGTCTAATTCGGATGTATACATGTACATGGCAAGAAATAGCAGGGAAGGAAGAAGTGGGGTCAACCATTTTGAATTATTATGTAACATTTCAGCATTAATAAAAATAATTGCTTGGAGCTTTACCAAGCTGTAGTTGATTTGTAAGATTCCTTATTTCAGCAGCTGAGATTGGGATCCAATTGGGCAGCAGGTTAATATTGAGATTTAAGTCAAATTTAGGGGATTCTTCTTGGGAATATATGAAATAAACAAAATGTTAAAAAGTTATGACATTTATGTAGTTACTTACCAAGTACATCTAAATTATATTAAAGTAACCAAAACATCTTTACAAGGCATGTCACAACTTTTGAGCACCCCTAATGTTTGAAATTGAAAGTTGAAAAATTGACACACCTTAATATATAGTTATATTCTAAAATGATCTTCCTAACAGAAGTCATTCATCAGTTTAATTATCCAAAAGGGAAAAAAAAAAGTGGATCCTGATATATTTGTGATTTGATAAGTTTGTGCTATTGGATGATCAAATATTTGGTAGAGAAATTACTTGATTCTGTGCAAAAAACAGAAGAAATGATTGATTTAACTTAAGGAAACTGCTTGAATGTAATCACTGTATAAGTATGCAATTGTTTTATACACTATATTAAGTAATGGCTTGCATTGAGTTTATTGAATATATAGTTCTAATTATTGGCTGAATTCATACATTACATTAGCCAAAATTAATCAAAACACATAATGTTTTAACTCCTGTTAAACTAAGTCTAAATACAGATTAAAACTATAATTCAGCATCTAAATGTGTACTGCTTTCTCAAAAACTAATATGAAAGACTGACTTTGTATTTTTATTCTCTTATTCTTGTTCTCATTTTTATTTGACAAATTCCACTAAACAAACAAACAAACAAACAAATAATCTGGTTTAGTTAATAGACCATTGTTAAATAAGCCATGGCTGGGTGATAGATGAAGTAAACCAACAAGTATGCTTGCCCAGTCCTTTTGGATGATAGAAGGCAATACAGGTAGTCCTTGATTTATGACCACAATTGAGCGCAAAATTTTCATTGCTAAGTGAGTTGTTAGGGGAGTTTTGCCCCATTTCACAACCATTCTTGCCACAGTTAAGTGAAGCATTGCACTTGCTAAATTAGTAACACCATTGTTGAGTGAATCTGGCTTACCCATTGAGTTTGCTTGTCAGAAAGTGGCAAAAAATGATCACATGACCCCAAGACCATCATAAATATGAGCCAATTGCCAAGTGTCTGAATTCTGATCATATGACCATGGGGATGCCGCAACAGTTGTGAGTGTGAAAAATAGTCATCGGTCACTTTTTTCTAGTGCTGTTTTAGCTTAAATGGTCACTAAATGAATGGCTGCCTATAATTTGTTTTAAAGAAAGCTTGGAGAAATGGAAATATCTTGAATATTTGATTTCCTGCTCTAATGGTCTGTGAGAATACTCTTAAGACAGGAGGAGGATAGGACAGACTAGCCAAAGTTCCCATAATATACAATTAGCTCGAAATTAGTTTCTGCGTATGCTTCTTTAAATTCCTAACAGCAAACTTGCTTAGCTACTTTCATGTCAAAATATACCAAAGATCTTTGTTCTTTAGAAACTGGATAAAGCCAGTAGACGAATAAAATGTTTTCAAGCATCTGTAATGTAACACTTGGTCTTTAGTCTGTACCATATTAATTTGAATAACAACTGATGATAACATGTCACACATTGTATTTTTAGAACACTTCTGGGGAAACAGTGGCTTTTAGTTGTTGTTTTTACTCCCATCAGATGTTTTTAAGCACACATTACAGTGAGTTCTTTGCCATAACTTGGTGCGAAATTGTATTACTGATTTTTTTTTTTAATGATAAAAATGTGGTGAACACTGGCAGTGTCTTAAGAGGCTCAATTCTTCAATTCAGAAAAGTAGAATTCGGAGTCTTCGGTATCCTTTTGCTATTAGTTAATCAACTGGTAAGACATAACCAAATTTTATGGTATCTATTTTTCCTATTGCGTATGTGAACCAACCAACTAGAACTATTATAGTATTTCAATATATTGGCTATTTTGTTGAAATTTAAATGTAACAATATTCCTTTAACTGATACAATTATTTTTGAAAAATAGTCATGTTCTTTGCTGGATTGTGTTTGGTAAATACAAAATTATTCTATTGTATTTTTGTATGGAGGAATATAACTTCCTCCATTGAATGATTATAAACTTGTTTTAAAGCTATAGCCAAGATTCATAACAACTCATTTACAATGATCTTGTCAATCCCATGCAAAATACGGAAGAGGTGTAGCATTTTAATCTCAGTCCTGATGACTTGCAACTCCAACAGGCAACTGGATGAGTTTGTACAATATTGTAAGTTAAAGTGGGCTTGATTGAGTTGTGACTTGGCGAATCACAATTCTGACCACTGTCATTAATTTATGGTTCAATACATAATGCAAATCCAGTCAATTCTGTAGACCATGCTTCATTAAGCATTGACTGGCATATGGTAGAAATACCACCGTAAGAAGTTCAAGTCACAATATATGAGGTAGAGAACAGAGGACTATTAAGTGTATGGGTGAGGAACTATGCCCCTTTTATGATTTGTGGACATCAACTCCCAGAATTCCTAAGTCAGCCATGCTGGGAATTGAAGTCCACAAGTCATAAAGGGGCCATAGATTCCCCACCTCTGATGTAGTATAATTACCATGCTGCACTTGTGGACTGCATCCCACCGGTATTTGCTTTTCAAGTATAAATTTGCACCTCCTTTATTCCTTTCCCTTGAGCATCACCATATGAAATGATTAGATGTTGCTAAGAACTGCCTAATGTCAGAGGGACTGACACCAAGAAATTCCCTTAATTTCAGTCTAATTACTTGCATTTATTCTCTAGGTGCAAATTAACTCTATAGCAAAATATAATCTTCAGAACAAGATACCCTTCTTTTTCCTGTCTGCCTAAAATAAAGTTTCTATCCCCCAAAAGTGATATGGGTCACAGAAGGTAGGAGAGAAGGATTGAATGATCTGCTATTTCGGCTGCATTTCACCAGTGTATTGAAACTATTATTTGCACTCATGATAAACAAGATGTTGACAGACTCAGACAGTTTATGCACTGTGCTAAGCTGGAATTTATTTAAGGATGGTTTATAGAATAAGTTGTGTTTCAAATTTTTATTGATGTATGTTGTGAGATGAAATAGAAATAGAAATAGAAACAAAACACAGAAAAGACAAGAGAGGTGCAAACAAGGGGGAAAAAAAGTAGTGACTTCCAGGTTTTTTCCCCCAGGTGAGTAGGAAAAAAAAAAGCTACAGCCTCAATCTTTTGCTTTGCATTTCTTATCAATTCAAACCATTTGTATAGCGACAAAGTCAATCTAGTCATCAAAACCAAAAATCAAAGTTTCATATTTTTCAGTTTTCTGCTCAAAGTCCAGAAGAAGTTTCCAAGCAAAAACAAAACAAGATAAGTTCTTCTTTTTAATTAAAGCAGTCAATTTTGCCATCTTGCCAACTCTTACCGCCTTTACCATCTATTCTTCTATTGTGGCAATTAGTGTATCTTTCAATCATTGTGCGTAGAGGTTTCTCACAGCTGTAAAGATACATAGTAACATAAAATAAACTGAAATTCATACAATTAAACAATTAAAATTACAAATCAGTAAGTCACATTGCACAATTTTTAGGACCCAAGTTTGCAAATTATGCTAACTCATGGACTCCTTAAGTAGTTAAGCACCATAATTTACATACATACTTCACAAACAAGTAAAAATATGTTTAAAAATGAATAGCTGGCTTCACCCAACATGCTAAAGCACAAATAAACAGCCACATTATGATTTAATGTGATGTGTGAACCACTTTATACATTTATTAGTATAACTGTATTTACATATTTCCCAATTCCAGAGGCTGTATTCACACCCTTGAGTAAGTCAAAAACTTTGAGATACATAGAATTACTTCATGATTTCTATTGTTCTCTTAGGTTTTGACCTCTTTATTTGGTTTAGAACTAATAGCAAAATTTGGAAGCAGAGCACCCTTTACTTCAAATCTCAGTTTTGACTACCATCATGTTGTTTATTGCAAAACAATAAATATTTGAAAAAAATAGCATTAATATGTAAATATATATGAGATGGGGAATTGTCATGAATGAAACTGTCAGCTGAGTACCCCAAATAGTACATACTGTGTAGGAATAATTCACATAGGCATAGTAGAGTATGGAGTCCTCACTGCTACTATCTGATTTAGAAGATTACAGTGCAAACACTCCTAAATTACTTCTACAAAAGCCCAATTTGCTCTCATTAATGGAAATGCTGACTTTAGCAAGCAACTACATCCTTGTTCTAAAAGCACAAAATGTGTTTGAGCTAGAAAGTTTATTTTTAAGCTCCTTATTTTTTTTTAATTGTTAATAATGACTAATAATTGTTCAGAAACACAAATTTTCAGATGACAGATTTTCAATCTTGCTAAGAGATGAAGGTGTCAATCCTGTTCTTCTTTACCTAGAAGTAAATTTCAGCAAACCAAAGAGTCAGCTTCCCATAATGATGTAGTAACTACAAAGGAGTCAAAAAGGACTTGAATCTAATGTGCTGCATGAATCCATCCCATATAAACAGGTCATAGTTCAAAATGTCATAAGAAACCAGGGAACTGGGGATGAAAAAACCATGCATAAGCAGGTCAGGTAAAAATAGGCATAGGATGAGAAAATAACACTGCTTATGAGAAAAATGGCTATGCATAACATGGTTAATTTAAATAAACTCATTTAACCTAAGATACTTTGAACTACAAGCCAACTATATAGTTGGCTTGTGGTTCAAACTATCTTAGGTTAAATGAACAATGTGCTAGCTAAAACCCAACTGACTATTTTGTGGTTCATTGTGTCATGTGAATATAGCCTGCTTATTGTGTCTACTACGTACATAACAAAATATTTCATGTTAGCTTATTGTTCAGAGTCTTATAAATCCAAGCAATTGGATTATAACAACAAACCATGATTCAACCAACTATAGGTAAGCCTGTTGTGCAAACACAGTCCATGTAAGTTTATGAAAACCATCTCCTTCCATTTTCCCCACTTGGGGCTTTACTACTATTCTAAGATTTTCAGAACTTCCTCCCAAAGATCATGGCTATCTTTGCAAGTAGAAAAGAAGAACTATTTCATTAGATATACACCTCTTCCTGGGAGTATAGCTCTCAGCTGCCCTTGGGTGTGGCTTAGATTGTAAAGCCAGGAAGAATCCTGAAAGCAGGAAGGACAAACCACATCAATATTTATTGCCAAGGAAAAGGCATTAACATACCCACATAGCCCTCTGGAATGAGGTTTTCCCCAAGATTCAGATGGTCCTCACTTTGCTGTTGTCTATGAGATTCCCAGTCATCCAGGTCATGGTTGTCCCAAAAGTGCTTTTTCAAGAGGCAACTGGACTTTCTGGTTTTTCTTTGAAGATGTTTCACTTCTCATCCAGCTCTGAAGAAGCTTCTTGGATGAGAAGTGAAACATCTTCAAAGAAAAACCAGAAAGTCCAGTTGCCTCTTTAAAAAGCACCTTTGGGACACTTTGCTGTTGTTTATAAGAGCTGGCCCTTCACCCAGGCCTTTAGCACAGGAGAATGAGACCCTTTGCTTCATTCCATCTGGCCTCTTGTGCTTATTGTCTTTTATTGATTTTATTGTAATTTCTTCATTGCTTGTTGTGAGCTAACCAGAATGGTTGGGAGTTGGATGACATACAGGTTTAATAATAATAGTAATGATGATGAAGTTTCAAACTTGAATCAAGGGAGGCATTACCTCCCATACTTATTCTCGGACAAAATGAAAGTCCAATGATTTCAGTAAAGCTCATTCCCAAATAAATGAGGGTAGGATGGTACGGTCAGAATAGTAGGTGGGGGGGAGAGGAGGAATCTAGCTAATTCATATTGTTAATTACAAATCAGTAAACTATGGCTTAATGACGAGTTATCAAAATGGGTTATAGTATTTCAAATAAACACAATGAAGCAGCATGGTTCTAAATGAATGATTTGGAGAACATCACTCTTATTTTTCCAATTACCACTGCTTTGGTTGAAGCATGCACATTTCTTCCTACAAGGGTATAGGAATTGTCCTGGTCTTATTACTCTTATGTCTAATCTGCTTTTGACTATGCTAACCAAAATAAAGAAGCCACCAGTTCCAGGCTCACCCTTCCCTCTTTCTGTTAAATCTCTAGCTGTGAAAAGATGGTGGTGACTCTTTGAGAGCTGTATGTAACGAAATTTAATTTCAATTTAATGTATGCCATTTAGTGTACAAAGTGACAATAAAGTTATTCTAAGTTTAAGATGGATTCTGCACTTTAGGTTGTGTGAGTAATACATTTTAGGAGCTACCAGGGAGTAACAGTACGTGTGTTAAACTAAAGGATTTGGAGACCTTAACGTTTGCAGAGTTGCACTGGAAGTTTATTCCTTATTCCAACATAATCACCTGGAGCTTTGGAAGAAAAATCCCTTTGGGCTGCCCTTAACTGGGAGGATGCCCAGAGTTAGTGGGAATGGGGCAGCATATAAATTTAATATATTGATGATACAGCAGAGTTGGGAAACTCCGGCAACTGCTAGTATTACCTTGGTGCCAATGAGGGGGTCCTTGGTGCCCTCTGAGCTTGGTGGTTCTTCTGTAGACATTTCATTACCCAAAAGTTTGGGTAATGAAAGCAACCAAGCTCAGAGACCACCAAGGACCCCCCTCATATCAACCCTGAGCTACAAATCTTCTCCTTCTGCCATGGTCCTCCCAACCCTTCATGGGACCCTTAGGGTCTCTTCTGCAGTATTTCAACCCAGGTACACGATAACCTTCACTTGCTCGTTAAGGGGGAGAACTCTTGAACTCACGCATTTTCAAAGGGGGAGGGGCTGCGGCACGTGGCCGGTCCCAGCAGTTCCCTTTAACGTCCAGCTTTTAAGGGGCTTGGGGCGCATGGGCCAGCAGCAGCTTCAGGTGGGGTGGCGTGAGGGAGAGCGCAGCGGCGTGCGCCAGGCAGGAGCTCTGCACCGAGCGAGCCCCTTCAGGAGTTAGGACATTCTCTCTCTCTCTCTCCCCCCCCACCCCGCCTCCCAAATCTCCCGCGCCCCTCCGTCGAGGGAAGAGTTGGCGCGCGCCGCTGCCGCCTCGCGAAGTGGGAGGAGGATCTCAGCGGCCAGGCGGATTGCTGGCGGGTCCCACCTGCGGTTGGTTGGCGAGGCAGAGCGGCGGCCCGGGGGGAAAAACGAGGCGAGGGGCCAGTTCGCGGCTTCTCCGTCCGTCCGTCCGCGCGGTTTCAAGTCTTTCTTCTCTCTCCCCCCCCACCTCTTTTTCTCCTCCTCCTCCTCCTGAAGCCGCCGCCTTCTTTCGCTGCTCCGCTTCCCATCTTCTTTCTCAGCCAGCCATGGAGGCATTTCCAGTCGGGGACGAGCTGGGCAGCACCCCAGAACCCACCATTTTGCAACCTGCCGGGACTGCTCCCGCGCCGGCTTATCCTGCCCTCGAGTCGCAACAAGGCGAGCACCTGCGCGTCGGGGAGGACGTCCAATTCAGCGAAGAGGTGGAAGACCGAGGTGAGCCCTTCGGTCCGGGGACGCTGCCCGCCGCCGTCACCGCCGACTAGTCCCAGGTCCAATCCTGCAGCGCCGGTTGCCCCACCCACCCTCCTACCCACCCACTCACTCACTCACTCACCTACCTACCCAGCCTTTCTCCGCTGGCTTTTGCTCCCGGCATTCGAGCCCTGCTTAAGTTGCCGCTTTTTCCAAAGCCCTTGCGCGCGGCACATTCGCCAGCTCTGCTGGCGACTTCTGGGGGAGCCCCGCTGGATGGATTGATTGACGCTTCTCCACAGAAGAGCGCCCCTGCCCCCTCCCTCCCAGTTGAGTTTCTGTAGTCGGCACCTTGCCCTGCCTGCGCTTCGTTTCAAAGCCGCTTCAGCGAAGCTCACCAGCTCTCCTCAACTCCTTCCCGCCGACGGCTGGCGTGCGCTCCTTTGCGCAGAGCTACATTTTGCTAGGTCACCCCCGAGCGTTGCCTTCCTCCTGCGGCTCGTCCTCGGTTAACGATCGCCTGGCCCGGGACCTCTACTTGCTGGGACTCGCTCGGGTTCTCGTCCGTCCTTTACTTCCAAAACCCCATGGCCTTCCCCCCCCCCCACCACCCAAAGCCTCCCTCCCTCTGGCCCAAACTCTCCTTTCCTCTTCCCACCAGCCTCCCTTTGCCCACTCCTGTCCTGGCCGTCGTTCCTGAGGCGCTGGCGTTAACACAAGTTTATGCGACAAGAAATCGCTTTTCGAGACCCTAAGACTCGGGGCCGTATTCACCTTTGACACCATCTTGAGGGACCTCCGTTGACTTCTCCTTCCTAAATAGGAGGGGAAAAAATGTTTTCCCATCTAGGCACCTGGCAAATGAATGGTGGAGTTGGTTCCTGCATCTGCTCCTGATTCTCTCCCCCTCCCCTTATTTGAAAACATGCAGTAAAAGCATCTACCAGGATAGAAAAATAAAAACATCCCATGCCCACCCACTTTTTTTTTAAAAAAAATGGGTGTGCTTGAAGGCTAACATTCAAAATGCAAATCCAAAAGCATTCACTGACTTGCAAGCAGGCGGCTTCATTCATTGCAAAGAAAGGATGCTGTGTATCCATCTCCACCCTTCCTTATAGGGAAGGGACACTCGGTCTATTGTCTCCTGCCAGTGGTGGCACCTGCCCTGCACGTGCCATTCATTGGCTTTGCATATTTTTTCCAGTCCCCCCCCCTCTGGTCTCCCACAATGGCAAGGAAGTTCCCTTTGAATTTAGGCATTCCTTTGAACTTACTCCTTGCTCTTTCCTTTCAGTTATTGTTTCTAATTCTTTTCAGTGGCTTCTTTTAGATCTGTTTCCCAGATAATGTTCTGGCAGTAGTTCCATTGTCTAAAATTGGGTGGGGGTGAATGAGATGAGGGATGTCAGTTTTTAAATTAAAAGTCCTTAAAATCTGGAGGTAGCTTGCTTGTTACTTTGCAACTCAGAGGAATGTGTCAACTATATGTAAGGTACAATTTCAAGAGTTTGGGGCCAGGAATAGCATGGTCTTTATTTAAACAAGGATACTCCTCCCACTGTTACCTTTTGCAGAATATGCTCCTGCAGAGATTTTCCTCAGATATGAGAGAGAGGAACTAAAATGATAAAAAAGAAAAATAATTGTGTGTTGGGGACATAGATATGTGTTGGAGACAAAGAATCCCTTAAGCTTATTTTTATATTTGTCTTATTTCTTCTCATCTAATCTGGTTGATTATTCCTAGGGAAATGTTAGAAATATTTTTTATCCTTAAATGTTTGTTAATTGCACTATCTATAGTTTTCGGCTGCTTTTCATTGGGCCCCAATACATGGAGGTTTTAGATGTAGCCCATTTAGAAAGTTTAAAGTCAGCGTCTCAGAATATTATTTATAAATTTTTTCTCTATCCTGTTTGTTAGAAATCAGAGAAATTTATGCCACTAACAGAGCAAGAAATAATCAGAACATATAAAATGTGATATTTTATACATCATACATTTCATTAAGTTGTGAATAGATTATAAATTATAGATTTATAATTTAGATTTAAATTATAAAATTTATTTTTAAATAAAGATGGATGTAAAACCCATCACATAACAATTTATAGTAGAATTTTATGATACAAAAGCATTTAGAATTATTTAAAAAGAAAATAGTTTTATCCAGGAATTATGGTTTTTAAGTAATATGTATTTTATCAATTTTTGTATTACCTTTTGGAATTTAATTTATTTTTGAATTTTGTGCACTTGACTCAGAAGTATGATGCAGATTAGAAAATATTTTTCTGTATAGTTGGTAGGAATATTATGTTTGCATATAATTGCAAATGTGTCTGTCATATATCTGTATATTCCATAGGTCTTTAAAGAATTAACAGTTGTAACTAAACTACTAAATCACTTTCAACTGGAAGAACTGAGTATCTATTTTATGTGGCTTAATTTAACAGATTGAGTTATTTTAGTTTCAATTAGAATGCATTGATTTTACTTAGGTAGCAATGGTAAGCATATTAAATTAGAAAATATAGATTGATATGGGAAGAAAGGTTGTATGTCTTCTACCTATTACAGACATTAGGATTTTATTTATTTTTATTTTATTGTCTTGTGAATAGCTTTGCTTAAGGCCTTGGCTACAGAGCCCTATAGTACTTTTTATCCTAGAATTCACTAATTCAGAGGGCTTTGTTTAATCCTCTGATAGACCTGATTTGATAAGACTATTTGTGCTTCCGTGTAAGATAATGGTACCAAAGTAGGAATTTGGTTTTTATCCAAAATCAAAATGATATTTAAAGGAAAGAGCCAAGAACAATTTTTCAAATGTTGTTAAATAGACAGGTTAAAATTGCTGATATAATAAACTTAGAATTGAAAAAATAAAAAAATAAAATGGAAATAAATTCTATTATCACCTATATCTACTGTAGATATGTCAGCTCTCTCCCTCCCTCCCTCCCCCTCTCTCTCTCTCTCTCACACACACACACACACCAACCACAAAAGCAGGTTTGTGCTATTGACTGACCATCCCAAGGAAGCGTTCCTTTGTGCTTTGATATCTAATTAAGAATTGCAGTGTAAATACAGAGCCATAAGGATAGTGTGAAAGCTTCATATATACACAACCTCCTGTACAATTACAATATGCTCCAGGCGGTAATTAGGCTCCTTCAGCCTTATAGAAATCTAGGTTCAGAACTGAATCAACACATCTTATTTGTAATAAAATGATTGATTGGCCTCTACTGTAAGATACAAATAAACATAGGGCGTATTTGGTAGATTCCATACAAATCCAGTTATAATTTGTGGCAAGGAACAGACTAAAGTAACAGACATATATGTTTGTTTCTTCTCATCAGGTTTGCTAGAAAGCAGTACAAGATTAAAACCTCATGAAGCTCAAAACTATAGAAAGAAAGCAGTGTGGGTTTCGTGGGCCTCCATTGTTGTTACGCTGGCTCTGGCGGTAGCTGCTTTCAGTAAGTATTGAACCACTTTCTCATCTTTAGATTGTGTCTTCAGCAACTGCATGCTATACAACACACAATATGATACTGCTGAAATTACATAGAAACAGCTGCCTGTTCCAGTTTTCCTGAAAAAGTCATCATTGCTGAAGGTTAGAAGAAAGACTAGATGTTGAAAATTTTTTGAACTTGTATGGATGGGGGGGGGCATTCTTTAGTGGAAAAAATATTATATGATTTATCTTTTTTTAAACAAAAGGAGTTCCTTGAATATCTTAAGTATTCTACAGAGATGCAAAAAGAATGCATGCAATAACCTATGTAAAGACAGAATAATTATTGCAACATAACGGCTAGTTAATATTTGAACTGCAGCCTACCATTTTGATGGGATTACATCTTCCTTGAGGTAACTTTAATGATGCCCATGTGGATATGATTTTCTGCTTTAGGCTATTTAAGTTAATATTCCATTGAATATATTATTTTTTTGTCAATTAGCCTATGCGGACTCCAAAACTGAATGTAGCTTTTTAAAAAAATCAGATGAAGGAAGGAAGGTCATTTCATTTAAAAAGAAAGTAAGTTGCTCAGCACAAAACGTTGCACACTTGCTAGTAGGGGAGCTAACCCATGAATAATGCAAAATGATCTTGAATTCGACAAAATGAGCTTATGGTGTGAGATGCAAAATTTGATAATGGTTACAAAAGTCAATTGCATTTTTTATTTGAGTTGCCAGAATATTTATTTATTTATTCACTATAAAAACAGAATGAAAAAGACAAAGGATTTATGTGAGATAGTGAAAATACGATCTTAATGCGAGAAAGGCAGACTGGATGCCTCTGCAGCATATGTTCCAGTGCTAATCTGCAGCAGTGGGCTATTGCTGAAAGTTGGTGTCAGCTCCCAAGGGGGGTTATTAGTCTTTGGCCAAATGGGCTCTGCAGAATTTAGCATATATTACTTGGAGTAATTTGTATGGAAAACACACGCCTGTGTATCTATTTTTGAAAGGAAGGAAGAAAGGAAATATAAATGCAGAACTCATCTGTAAATCAAAATACAGCCTCTGTAGATTTGTTCTTTGTCACTGATAAAATTTGCTACCTAGAAATTGGGTCAGTTATCAAACCAGAGGATAGCAGTCTATGGCATTTTAGGTAAAAGGATTAGTGAAAAATAAATATTCCCAGAGATCTTTCCCCTTTTCTTTTCATCTGGCAAGCGGTAGTATCAGTAACACTGCAGTGTGTGCTAATAATCCTGTTGTAGCATTTGCTTGAAGTATGTACAGATGAAATCACTGGAGTGTAATTCTTAACATTGACTAAATGTGCTAATTTGCATTAAAAGTTTGGGACAGAACTTTTTAAGCATCACTTGATATTACTATATTGAAATATATGAGTAATGGGCTTACATTGAAAGTGGGAGAGCAGACTATGTTTGAAACTGAAGTGCCACATCTAAGGAACTGAGAAGATAAAGCCAAGATTTTTAGAATTCCGGTTATTTGTTTTTATTATTTATTAATTTATTGAATTTATATTGCCGCCTATTCATACATGGCGACTGAAGGCTGCTTACAGAATATAAAATCTCATTTAAAACAATAAAACTAATAAAAAAGAATAAATTAATATAATATAATATAATATAATATAATATAATATAATATAATATAATATAATATAATATAATATAATATAATATAATATAATATAATATAATCTACCAGGCCCGCTGGTAGGACCAGGTCTTCAGTGCTTTCAGGAAGAGTGTTAGAGCGGGGGCCATTCTCATCTCTGGGGGAATGATGTTCCAGAGAGAGGGAGCCACCATGGAAAAGGCCCTTCTTCTGGGTTGTACCAGGTGTATCTTTCTAGAGGATGGGACCCGCAACATTCCCTGCCTCCCCACTCTGATGGATCAGGTAGATATTGCTTATATCTTTAGCCAAATTCTTCAAAGTTGTAGTTTATATTCCCAAACTTGATAATTGGGCCATTGCAACTTTTTAACTGTCATTTAGAGACATCTCATTTTTTAATTGAAGCTCAAAATATCTCTTAGCCAGCAACATGAACAGAATTAGTGCAATGCAATGCAGCCCTAAGCATTTTATTGAGAAGTAGCCACCACTGTATTCAATGGAAGTTAAGTTCCAAATAACTGATATTGAAGGCCTCTGTGTGGGTGGATGTACAGGTTTTAAAGTGATAGGTAAGATAGAATAGTTTCAAAATTTTATTAGGAAATCAAAAGTGCAAAGCAAGAAAATATTTCAATATTTGTGGGAGAAAAAGCAAACTTCTTGTTCAAAGTTAATAATACAGGAAAAGGCTAATGACCTTCAGAATTAATTTCCTATGTTTTTATAATGTTATGTAGGAAAGACCTTGGGAGTCTGAGGCAAAATATGCTATTCAGGGAATGCTCAGATAAGAGAGGGCATGGCAGATACTGCAGCTGCATGACATATGCAGGGAAAGAAACTCGGAAAGCTTCCTTCCTAAATGTCCATGGAGATTCTCAATCATCCACATCATGGTTGTCCCAAAGGTTCAAGAGGCAACTGGACTTTCTGATTTTTCTTTGGAGACATTTTGCTTTCTCATCCAAGAAGCTTCTTCAGCCTTTTGGGACATCCTTCCTCTATTATCAGACTGTAAAAAGAGATTGATGGGGATTTGAACTTTCAGACTTGCAAGATTCTGTTAATTTACAATAAAATAGAATTAACTCATCTTGATTCCCGTCTAACTGGGAAGGCTGATAGTTTCAGCACTATTTAAAATCAAACCCACAGGTATATAGATTTAGAAGTATATATTAAGATATTTAAATTTAGTAGCTGGGGCAGTGATTTACTGCCCCAGCTGCTCTGTGATTTACCTGATGATGCTTCTGTTTGCCTGATATATATTAAAAAAATGGCTGTACAATTCTCCGACAATGCATCATTTTGAGCACTGGGAAACCTATAGAAGAAACTAAAGGATGTAGGAGTTCCATAAAAGATGCAGGAAGTTTCAAATGTAATTATGCTGCTCAGAGGAGTAGCAGTGAACATTCCTAAGAATTTTTTCTATATATTTTTATTGAAGTTTAAGATACAAAGATAAAAAACTAATACAAACTAAGAAAAAAAAGAAAAAAAGTGTAGAGATAAAAAGGAGAAAGGAAGAAAAATATATTTAAAAAGCAAAAAGGAAGGAGTTCTTCTTCATCAAGACAAATACAATTTCAGTAACTTTTTATTTTCTCTAACTGTTCAACCAAATTTTCTTCATCCCATATTTTATCTTTTATCTATTAGGAAATAATAAAGCCCCATCGTTCAATCTTAATCAGTAATGGTTCATTAAGAGTTTTTAGAACTTAAACAAGTAAATCAGTTTCATATCCATTTTACAACAATTTGCCATTTTCTTTTGAAATGCAACAAAAAATCTTCCCATTTCTTATCTTATATCTATAAGCAAATCTTTAAAATCTTATTTACTTTTAAAAAACCCATTAAGACTACCAGAAACAATTAAAAAATTTATGATTAATCTCTTCAAATAATTAACTTTTTGTCTTATTCTCCTCTCAGAAACCCCTCACAAGTTTACTTTGCTTTTAATACCATAGCTTCTCAATTCCTCTAAAAATACAGCAACAAAAAAATGTCTTCCAATATTTTATCTATAATCTTTAAGGCCTCTTTCAGCTCTAGACAAGAAAAACCCACTAAATGCTACTACAAAAAATATACATTTTAACCTTGATCAAATAAGCCAACTTTATGATACTTCTTACTTTTAAAAGTCTTGATTTTCATTTCTTCTAAGTAGTGTCCCAAAAGATTATTTCTTTTCATTCTCTTTTTATCTTTTCTTGGGAACTCCTTCATTTTTGGCAATATCATTTCTGCATCCTGTCAACTTTGAATCATATCCAGAACAGCCTGATTCACAGTTGGATTGTCTTCTATCTCCTCTTTTAATCTCATTTTTATAGTAACAGACAATCTTAACATAATGTTCTGAGTACATTATTGCTAAATATTCTTCCAGAATTAAAATACTTTCCTCCATTCCGAATTAGTGGATCTTCTCCTTTAATTCTAATCTTTAATTCTTTATGGTCACCTTTAGTGACCAGCCTTTAAGGTTTCCTCTTGTCATGTTTTTCTCTAATTCACAGCAGGGAAAAAAATATTTTCCCAGGGAAAGATTTCTTACACTTAAATTAAAAATATCCATATATTTTAATGGACTTTTTTTAAAAAAATCACAGGACGTATTCTTATAATTATTTCAGAATCTTATTCCAGTCAATCTGACCCCTTAGTCCATTTAAAACTTTCTAAAATCAACGTTCTAATCACCCTTTTGCTGCTTATTTCCAAATAAAATATTTTTCTTTAAATTCTTCAACTTAAATGAAACTTTTTTCACTGAGGATTGAAGGAAAAATTAACCCTTCTGAAGGTTCTTAATATCCAAAAAGCAATTTACAAGCCATTTCTAGCAAAAATGATTAAAAGGACGAAATAGGTGTCTTTTTAAAAGCTTTGAACCATGGTTTGGGCAAAACTGATTTTCGTCACTCCCAGAGTTAAAACTTGCTGGAGACCACTGTTTTACTGGTACAGTCTTGCCATGGGGAGCATCAGTATAGAGCATTCTGGACAATCACAGGTCGCTCTCTTAATCTGGGGAGGAGTTCAGGGAAACTGATTCATTCACCGGATCCTTTTTCCACTATGATCATCGGTTCTGCTCTTGTGGAGCCGTCTTCAGTTTGCCATTGCTTCTATAGTAGATAAGATTTTTTTTTCTGATCTAAATTGTGTCCAAAGGAATTTCTCCAACAAAGACTATAGATATCCATATGCACCACTGAAACGGTTCTTTACAAGTTGTGAAGGCGTAAATTATTCATGAAGGTTAGGATTAGGATTCCTTATAGTACCTTTCAATGAAACCTTGGAGTATTTTCATTTTGTATTTCTCTTC